TACAATTATCCTATATTAGTGAGTGGGATTTGTAAGAAAGATTGGCCTCTAAAAAGGCGAAACACATGCATGGCAGTTGATAAGTACTAATTGCGAGCACTCAATTCGAGACCGAAAGGCCTGACATAGTTGTACTTGGCATGTTAAGAGCGAATATTATGGGAATTTTTTTCTGGTTTTCTAGCTAGCCTTGGTAATTCCTGAATCCACAGTTAAATCTTGTAGCTTCTGCACCGTTTACTTTTTTGTAGTCCGTTTAATCAACATTTTTTGAAAGCTTTTTTGTCAGTTCATGAAATTTCTAGCTGATCGTTACAACCATCGCAATTTGCTCGGCATTTTATTGTGTAAATCGGCCTGAGGTGAGTGATAAACGGAGCGCAGCTGTACTAGATTCTTAGTTTTTAACCACTCAAGTGAACCATCTTGCATCTTTATCGGGTCAGCAACAGTTCCCTCAAGCGAGAACTGCTTGTTGACCATTCACAAGCCATCGGTAGGACAATCTGCTTGTCGCAGGGCCAGCCAAACAGACTTTACTTTCCGTTTATGTTTGATTTCCTGTATTTGTTTGAAAGGGCATTTTATTTTCTCTATGTTTGTTTTGTTTTCTCTAAATCTGGGAAAGATATTCCAATTTTCAAATTTTTTGCCCCTGTCGTAACATTTCATGTTTGATCTCATACTTTCCCTTCTCACATTCGAGATTTCAGCTCTGACATTGCCCCTCCTCCTTTCATCAGCCAGCCCCTTCTCCTTTTTTCAGCCAGCCCCTCCTCCTTTTATCAACTAGCCCCTCCACCTTTTATTCGATTTCAGATTGGCACATATTAGGAGCTCAAAGTTGGAAACGGCTCGATTTTAAGGAACCATAGGAACCATTGGGAGAGAGAAAGTTGTCTGCTGTTAGCATTTGCTACCGTTTCCTAGTATTCCCGCCTTTACGGAGGGTAAAATAATGAGGAAACGTTAACTTTGACGTTATTGCTTCTAGCAAAGTAGAATTTCGGGAGATTTGGGTAGTTCTTCTGATGTGATATGCTGATAACTGGGAGGGCGGGGGCGGGGGAATCGACATGTTCCAGATGTTATATTAACTGTAATTTGGTATTGGGACAGCTCTCCGCCTGGCCCTCACCCACACATTTTTTTTAGTTTTTTTTATCGGCTGCCTTATTATTTCGAAAGAATTTGGTGCGAAGAGAACAGTCCTATTTTCGATTATAACTGAAGTATAAGTCGCTTTTCCAGTATTTATTGAATACCACCGATGGCCAACATGCATCTCTGGATTTATGCATGTTTTTGGTAGTGAACGGCGCTCATGTCACTTCTGGAAAATAACCTCTCCTTATGTCTTTTTTATGATCATTCCACTGCTACATGTTTACTCATGATTTTTACTTCCATGATTTTTCGTGATTCACGTGAACATCACGCTTTATATTCATGATATGTTGGGATTCTCATGATTATTATTTGATTTCATTTAACGAATTTGACTTTCATTCAGTGCTAATTAACACTTAAACATAAACTGGGATATACGCGCGTGTCAAAAATTTTCGATCTCATATCACAGTGGTACGCTTACGAGGAATGACTTTTGCCTCTAAAAACCATTAATTCTCTGAATCCGGGGTTCAGTCCCCTCAAGATTGGCTCACTTATTGATATTGTATTGATAAATATTGGTTTATTAATAAATTGCATAAATTTGTGATTGATTTATTCA